CACCACAGTACAGTACTGCAAGGTGCAACAAACAAAGAGTGTCCAATCGGCAAAGTCTAAAGGTAATACGACTTTGCCTACTGCCCAAATTACCATCCTGAATAAGAGGGCCAAGGTCCATACCCGTGGGTTGTTTGACCAAGGATCCCAGAGAACATATATCACTAAAAAGCTGGCAGATGAATTACAATTAAGGCCTGTAGCCCAGATGTCATTCAACATCTCAGGGTTTGTAACAGATGCAGGACCTCAAGTCTACCAGGTGGTACAACCATCAGTACGCTTAGGCAGGTACGTCTGTCGAGTACAAGCCATTGTGGTGGACAAAATACCAGTAGACCTACAAGTTCAAGGTCTGAGAGCAACAGCCAAATTCCTGAGAAATAGAGGAATAAAATTGGCAGATAATATTAAGTCTGATCACCTCACCGACTTCGGTCTCCTTGTAGGGACAGACTATTGCCATCGATTCATCGGTAGCCCTACTAAATATCAGGGTATAACCATGTTAAACTCTGCAGGAGGTAAATTACTCTCAGGCCCAGTATCAAGCCTGAGGAGACCTATGCCTGCAGATAAACAATACCAGTAGAGATCTAAATTTGTCAGCTGATTATATTTCTCCAGTAGCATTATACTAAGGAGATTACAGCTGACTATAGTAACAGAGGTTGATGTTAGTATCATCATTTAAAGCTGGAGATGAGTTCATGAGGCCTCAGTGGCAAATCAGTGAACAGTAGCCTAAAACAGCTACAAGTCACTGCGACCAATGTCACTGAACCCACTGCAGTCTCAGAACCATACTTTACTTTAATGATGAGCTATTCAATCTTCTGAATCAATTAATTAAATTAAACCCCAATAAATCTGATGACTGATTTGATACATTTATTATTTAATCAAGATGTATTCCATGGGCCTCAGTGTTTATATATCAGTGACCAGTTACCTGAAGAAACTTCAAGTTATATCTAATGTCACTGATCTCACTGCAGTCCCTGAATCATACTTGACTGTAGTATTTGATCACATTCAGTCTTCTGGGTTAAATAATATGTAATTAGGCTTGAATATTAGCCTTTCAAGAGTTGACAGGGAAATGAAATCGCATTAGACTTCTAACCCCTGCAACTCTAGTACGGGACATCCGTCCTGTACGAACAGACGCACAAATGTGTGATTACTAACTACTAACATCAAATTAATGTAATAATTCGAAGGAGGAGTATCGGTGTTCGTCTGTTCTAATTAGGACTTCGACCCGTGAGCAGCCCCTGGGGAATTATGTCGGAAAATCCGACCCCATTTAATAATCATACAGATAATTGCTGTTGTATAAGCAAGTTACCCATAGAAAACGTAACTTGTAGTGGAATTACCGTCTATAGAAAACGGGATATCATCACCACATACTATTATAATTCACCAGCTATTCTGCTGGGAATTGTTCTTAAATACATTAGTCTTTGGACTTTACCATCATAAAAACATCTTATATAAATTAACTTAATTATCAATATTAAAGTAGAGTAAATGTGACCCTTCTATCACGTTCTGAAATCTGGACAATGTAAGCCAGGCGTCAGAGTGGAGGAGGAGGGCAGCCATCATTGTTTATATGAGACCAGAGGCTCACACGGGAGCAAATTCGGCTCCTGTTAAATTTACTTGGACGTAGTGTTATGGAACCCAAAGGTGTACCATTGTCAACACGCTGTCTACAAATACAAGTTAAGTGTCTATCCGAAACCCGTTTATCATTCATTTATGGCCATTAATGTCAGGATATAGGGTTAGCCGGTTAGAACGCGAAATCGCCTCAAACTAAAGGTAATTAAGCCAGGTCTTTAAGGTTCCATGTACTGTATAGTGTTTTCTCTGATATAGCTTGTCATATATAGGATTCTGGCTTCACAGCTAGCGCACTTTTGACAGGTCAAGACGAGGATGCAAGATTATGTGCACCAGTTACTGGGTGATAGAAGCTACCTCAAAGAGGATAATTTGGTGTCTACACCCTAGTTATACCTAGTGGACTAACCTGCTGTACTATAAGATAAGGAACCTCATCAATGTATGTAGCTATTCCTGTAGTTTGATTGGCTGCATATATATATATATAAATATAAACCCCCCCTAATGTGTAGAGGATCGATTTGTGAGATTATGAGATTATTGCAGAAATACAGTCCACTTATCATTATACAAATTGCTATCGAAGTATATAAATTAACGTAAATATAAATTCATATAAATTAAATAAATATAAATCTCACAGGTCGGTTCCCACACTGTGAGTGGACATACCGCCATAGTGACAGTATTGGGCAGCGCCACTCATCTTGTGAGTGGACATACCGCCATAGTGACAGTATTGGGCAGCGTTACTCATCCTGTGAGTGGACACACCGCCATAGTGACAGTATTGGGCAGCGCCACTCATCCTGTGAGTGGACCTACCGCCATAGTGACAGTATTGGGCAGCGCTACTCATCCTGTGAGTGGATACACTGCCATAGTGACAGTATTGGCAGCGCCACTCATCCTGTATGTGGACATACCGCCATAGTGACAGTATTGGGCAGCGCCACTCATCTTGTGAGTGGACATACCGCCATAGTGACTGTATTGGGCAGCGCCACTCATCCTGTGAGTGGACATACCGCCATAGTGACAGTATTGGGCAGCGTTACTCATCTTGTGAGTGGACACACCGCCATAGTGACAGTATTGGGCAGCGCCACTCATCCTGTGAGTGGACCTACCGCCATAGTGACAGTATTGGGCAGCGCTACTCATCCTGTGAGTGGACACACTGCCATAGTGACAGTATTGGCAGCGCCACTCATCCTGTATGTGGACATACCGCCATAGTGACAGTATTGGGCAGCGCCACTCATCCTGTGAGTGGACATACCGCCATAGTGACAGTATTGGGCAGCGCCACTCATCCTGTGAGTGGACATACCGCCATAGTGACAGTATTGGGCAGCGCCACTCATCCTGTGAGTGGACACACCGCCATAGCAGCATGTACAACACTCCCCAATAGGAAGAAAACCCGCTGGGTTGTTCATCCTGTAAAAGATTGAGATGTTGAAGCCAGACCTCCAGGGGTCTGAGGGGCTTGTATCGTGCTAAGTCAGTCATGGCAGCCTCAAGGTTCTCACACTCAAGTGGCACTTTAGTGGACATATTCAAGTGATAAGAGGACCACTGTGATCCTCCAGCGCCAGGAGTAGGGACGAGAGGGAGCGCTAGACAAGCACAGATGGTGGTCACAGTTTATCTGGAGTATTAAGGTGGAGGGCCAGCCTCTGACAGTGCCAGTGTCATCCTCCACAGTTGTCAAGTGTCAAGTGTTTGTGGGACTTGAGAGGCTGGGACTTGAAAGGCTGGGACTTGAGAGGCTGGGACTTGAGAGGCTGAGACTTGAGAGGTTGGGACTTGAGAGGTTGGGACTTGACAGGGTGGGACTTGAGAGGCTGGGACTTGAGAGGTTGGAACTTGAGAGACTGGGACTTGAGAGGTTGGGACTTGATACACTGGGACTTGAGAGGTTGGGACTTGATACACTGGGACTTGAGAGGCTGGGACTTGAGAGGCTGGGACTTGAGAGGGTGGGACTTGAGAGGGTGGGACTTGAGAGGGTGGGACTTGAGAGGGTGGGACTTGAGAGGCTGGGACTTGAGAGACTGGGACTTGAGAGGGTGGGACTTGAGAGGCTGGGACTTGAGAGGTTGGGACTTGAGAGACTGGGACTTGAGAGGTTGGGACTTGAGAGACTGGGACTTGAGAGGTTGGGACTTGATAGATTGGGACTTGAGAGGCTGGGACTTGAGAGGTTGGGACTTGAGAGGCTGGGACTTGAGAGGCTGGGACTTGAGAGGCTGGGACTTGAGAGGTTGGGACTTGAGAGGCTGGGACTTGAGAGGCTGGGATTTGAGAGGTTGGGACTTGAGAGACTGGGACTTGAGAGGCTGGGACTTGAGAGGCTGGGACTTGAGAGGTTGGGACTTGAGAGGTTGGGACTTGATACACTGGGACTTGAGAGGCTGGGACTTGAGAGACTGGGACTTGAGAGGGTGGGACTTGAGAGGCTGGGACTTGAGAGGCTGGGACTTGAGAGGGTGGGACTTGAGAGGGTGGGACTTGAGAGGCTGGGACTTGAGAGGTTAGGACTTGATAGACTGGGACTTGAGAGGCTGGGACTTGAGAGGTTGGGACTTGATACATTGGGACTTGAGAGGCTGGGACTTGAGAGGCTGGGACTTGAGAGGTTGGGACTTGAGAGGCTGGGACTTGAGAGGCTGGGATTTGAGAGGTTGGTACTTGATAGACTGGGACTTGATAGACTGGGACTTGAGAGGCTGAGACTTGAAAGGCTGGGACTTGAGAGGTTGGGATTTGAGAGGCTGGGACTTGAGAGGTTGGGACTTTAGAGGGTGGGACTTGAGAGGTTGGGATTTGAGAGGCTGGGACTTGAGAGGTTGGGACTTTAGAGGGTGGGACTTGAGAGGTTAAAACTTGAGAGGCTGGGACTTGAGAGGTTGGGACTTGATACATTGGGACTTGAGAGGCTGGGACTTGAGAGGCTGGGTTTTGAGAGGTTGGGACTTGAGGCTGGGACTTGAGAGGCTGGGATTTGAGAGGTTGGGACTTGATAGACTGGGACTTGATAGACTGGGACTTGAGAGGCTGAGACTTGAGAGGCTGGAACTTGAGAGGTTGGGACTTGAGAGGCTGGGACTTGAGAGGCTGGGATTTGAGAGGTTGGGACTTTAGAGGGTGGGACTTGAGAGGCTGGGACTTGAGAGGCTGAGACTTGAGAGGTTGGGATTTGAGAGGCTGGGACTTGAGAGACTGGGACTTGAGAGGCTGGGACTTGAGAGGCTGGGACTTGAGAGGCTGGGACTTGAGAGGCTGGGACTTGAGAGGCTGGGACTTAACAGGCTGGGACTTGAGAGGGTGGTACCCAGCTCCCTCGCCACCCTCACCTTGAGCTCCCTCATGAGGGTCCTGAGAGATGAGTACTTCCTTAGGTGACGGTAGAGCTCATTAGTGAGGGCGTTATTCTCCTCCAGGATCTGAGATGTTGTCATTCCTGCAACACATCACAATGTTTAGGGCTGGTTCCTGCAACACATCACAATGTTTAAGGCTGGTTCCTGCAACACATCACAATGTTTTAAGGCTGGTTCCTGCAACACATCTCAATGTTTAAGGCTGGTTCCTGCAACACATCACAGTGTTTAGGGCTGGTTCCTGCAACACATCACAGTGTTTAGGGCTGGTTCCTGCAACACATCACAATGTTTTAAGGCTGGTTCCTGCAACACATCTCAATGTTTAAGGCTGGTTCCTGCAACACATCACAGTGTTTAGGGCTGGTTCCTGCAACACATCTTAATGTTTAGGGCTGGTTCCTGCAACACATCACAATGTTGAAGGCTGGTTCCTGCAACACATCTCAATGTTTAAGGTTGGTTCCTGCAACACATCTCAATGTTTAAGGTTGGTTCCTGCAACACATCTCAATGTTTAGGGCTGGTTCCTGCAACACATCTCAATGTTTAGGGCTGGTTCCTGCAACACATCACAATGTTTAAGGCTGGTTCCTGCAACACATCTCAATGTTTAGGGCTGGTTCCTGCAACACATCACAATGTTTAAGGCTGGTTCCTGCAACACATCTTAATGTTTAGGGCTGGTTCCTGCAACACATCTCAATGTTTAGGGCTGGTTCCTGCAACACATCTTAATGTTTAGGGCTGGTTCCTGCAACACATCACAATGTTTTAAGGCTGGTTCCTGCAACACATCACAATGTTTAAGGCTGGTTCCTGCAACACATCACAATGTTTTAAGGCTGGTTCCTGCAACACATCACAATGTTTTAAGGCTGGTTCCTGCAACACATCACAATGTTTAAGGCTGGTTCCTGCAACACATCACAGTGTTTAAGGCTGGTTCCTGCAACACATCACAATGTTTAAGGCTGGTTCCTGCAACACATCACAATGTTTTAAGGCTGGTTCCTGCAACACATCACAATGTTTTAAGGCTGGTTCCTGCAACACATCACAATGTTTTAAGGCTGGTTCCTGCAACACATCACAATGTTTAAGGCTGGTTCCTGCAACACATCACAATGTTTTAAGGCTGGTTCCTGCAACACATCTCAATGTTTAGGGCTGGTTCCTGCAACACATCACAATGTTTAAGGCTGGTTCCTGCAACACATCTCAATGTTTAGGGCTGGTTCCTGCAACACATCACAATGTTTTAAGGCTGGTTCCTGCAACACATCACAATGTTTAAGGCTGGTTCCTGCAACACATCACAGTGTTTAAGGCTGGTTCCTGCAACACATCACAATTACTGACCAACTTATATGTGTGGTGTTGGACTTAAGGCCTAACAACGTCTGGAGGTATATTTCACAACCCAAAATGACCTTTAACCTTTAATTACTCAACATACATGAGAAATTAGAGCAATAACAGCCAACAGCACTCAGCTCCCGTACTGAAATATTTGAATATATTAAATATTAAATCACTCAACATTCTCTCAAATGTAATCTATAATTCTATATGAATAAGAGTCTTTAAAAGCTGACCTTAAGGGTTGACCTTAAGGGCTGACCTTAAGTGCTGACCTTAAGGGCTTTCTAGGAGGCTGTAACAGAACCCTAAACACACTAAAACAAATATCTTATTGGTATTCCAAGAATGTGACTTAACCACAGCAACAATGCTCTGTAAACCAAGGGAGATAAGAGACTTGTGGTGGCCCTAGTACACATGGATGTTGCTGAAGCCTTTGATACAGTCTCCGTGGTGTAGTGGTAAGACACTCGCCTGGCGTTCCGCGAGCGCTATGTCATGGGTTCGTATCCTGGCCGGGGAGGATTTACTGGGCGCAATTCCTTAACTGTAGCCTCTGTTTAACGCAACAGTAAAATGTGTACTTGGATGAAAAAACGATTCTTCGCGGCGGGGATCGTATTCCAGGGACCATAGGATTAAGGACTTGCCCGAAACGCTACGCGTACTAGTGGCTGTACAAGAATGTAACAACTCTTGTATATATCTCAAAAAAAAAAAAAATAATAAGGTCCCAAGTGAGAGGCTGGCAAGGATATTACAGGTTCAGGGAGTAAATGGGAGAATACTGGAATGGATTAAACTCGGGTTGAAACAAAGAAAACGGGTCATGCTAAATGGAAACTGATCTGACTGGAGAAGTGCGGTGAGTGGGGTCCCACAGGGGGGCCATTTTGGGGCCGACACTATTTCTTATATACATCAATGACATATATGAGAATATTGCCGTATAGTGTAAAGAGAAAATTATATTGAAGTCTTACTGAGAGAGCTGCATAAATTCCACAAATGTTAGAAGACTGACAAATGGGTTTTAATATTGACAAATGCAAGACCTTGTAAGTGGGGCATAACAACTAGCGCCACGACTACCACATTAACAACATTACCTTGCAACAGATTGATGCAGACAAGGAACTTGGAGTCAGGATCCGTCATCAATGAAACTTGTACAACAAGTGGGCGTGGCAGTAAAAAAAAAAAAGATAACCAAACCGTAGAAATAATCAAGCGTACCTGTACCTTTAAGCGCACCTGTACCTTTAAGCGCACCTGTACCTTTAAGCGCACCTGTACCTTTAAGCGCACCTGTACCTTTAAGCGCACCTGTACCTTTAAGCGCACCTGTACCTTTAAGCGCACCTGTACCTTTAAGCGCACCTGTACCTTTAAGCGCACCTGTACCTTTAAGCGTACCTGTACCTTTAAGCGCACCTGTACCTTTAAGCGCACCTGTACCTTTCAGCGCACCTGTACCTTTAAGCGCACCTGTACCTTTACGCGCACCTGTACCTTTAAGCGCACCTGTACCTTTAAGCGTACCTGTACCTTTAAGCGCACCTGTACCTTTAAGCGCACCTGTACCTTTAAGCGCACCTGTACCTATAAGCGCACCTGTACCTTTAAGCCCACCTGTACCTTTAAGCCCACCTGTACCTTTAAGCGCACCTGTACCTTTAAGCGCACCTGTACCTTTAAGCGCACCTGTACCTATAAGCGCACCTGTACCTTTAAGCCCACCTGTACCTTTAAGCGCACCTGTACCTTTAAGCGCACCTGTACCTATAAGCGCACCTGTACCTTTAAGCCCACCTGTACCTTTAAGCGCACCTGTACCTTTAAGCGCACCTGTACCTATAAGCGCACCTGTACCTTTAAGCCCACCTGTACCTTTAAGCCCACCTGTACCTTTAAGGTCAAGAAGGTTGTGATTCAACTGTATAAATCTCTGGTGCGCCCCCCCCCACCACCCTGGATTATTGCAAAAAAGCAGCTCCAGCAGGACACAGCTGCTGTGGGGAAAGTGCAACACCGGGCAACAAAAGTCACTCCAGAGCTAAGTCGACTCCGGTACCAGGAACCTCCAGAGCTAAGTCGACTCCGGTACCAGGAACCTCCAGAGCTAAGTCGACTCCGGTACCAGGAACCTCCAGAGCTAAGTCGACTCCGGTACCAGGAACCTCCAGAGCTAAGTCGACTCCGGTACCAGGAACCTCCAGAGCTAAGTCGACTCCGGTACCAGGAACCTCCAGAGCTAAGTCGACTCCGGTACCAGGAACCTCCAGAGCTAAGTCGACTCCGGTACCAGGAACCTCCAGAGCTAAGTCGACTCCGGTACCAGGAACCTCCAGAGCTAAGTCGACTCCGGTACCAGGAACCTCCAGAGCTAAGTCGACTCCGGTACCAGGAACCTCCAGAGCTAAGTCGACTCCGGTACCAGGAACCTCCAGAGCTAAGTCGACTCCGGTACCAGGAACCTCCAGAGCTAAGTCGACTCCGGTACCAGGAACCTCCAGAGCTAAGTCGACTCCGGTACCAGGAACCTCCAGAGCTAAGTCGACTCCGGTACCAGGAACCTCCAGAGCTAAGTCGACTCCGGTACCAGGAACCTCCAGAGCTAAGTCGACTCCGGTACCAGGAACCTCCAGAGCTAAGTCGACTCCGGTACCAGGAACCTCCAGAGCTAAGTCGACTCCGGTACCAGGAACCTCCAGAGCTAAGTCGACTCCGGTACCAGGAACCTCCAGAGCTAAGTCGACTCCGGTACCAGGAACCTCCAGAGCTAAGTCGACTCCGGTACCAGGAACCTCCAGAGCTAAGTCGACTCCGGTACCAGGAACCTCCAGAGCTAAGTCGACTCCGGTACCAGGAACCTCCAGAGCTAAGTCGACTCCGGTACCAGGAACCTCCAGAGCTAAGTCGACTCCGGTACCAGGAACCTCCAGAGCTAAGTCGACTCCGGTACCAGGAACCTCCAGAGCTAAGTCGACTCCGGTACCAGGAACCTCCAGAGCTAAGTCGACTCCGGTACCAGGAACCTCCAGAGCTAAGTCGACTCCGGTACCAGGAACCTCCAGAGCTAAGTCGACTCCGGTACCAGGAACCTCCAGAGCTAAGTCAACTCCGGTACCAGGAACCTCCAGAGCTAAGTCGACTCCGGTACCAGGAACCTCCAGAGCTAAGTCAACTCCGGTACCAGGAACCTCCAGAGCTAAGTCGACTCCGGTACCAGGAACCTCCAGAGCTAAGTCGACTCCGGTACCAGGAACAGTTGAGGGCCGCAGGGCTACCAACACTACACACCAAGGCATGACGGGGCGCATTTCATCGAAGCTTAAAAATACTTAACAATCTGCAGGATACTAAAAAAAATCACACATTAACGTGACATATCAATGGTAGGAAAATCAATGGGAGCCGTGGCGACGACTCAAACCTATGCGCTGGGCTAAATTTTTCTAATTTGGTGGACATTGATCCAGACCATCTCTTTAAAAGGTCAGATGTAACACAAACAAGGAGCAACGGGTACAAGTTCAACAAGCCACAGTGTGGGACTGAGAACACAGATGTGTTATCTGCCAGATCATAAACCCATAGAACCGCCTACCCGACGCAGCTGTAAATACCAAACTATGCTGAATTTTACAATCCAACTTAAACAAATTGCCAGGACAAATGGAGGAACCTTTGACAAGCCGCCAACTTCCTGTCCTGGTCGGGGACCGCTGGCATGTATCCAGATCCTCAAAGGTCGAATTACTGACCTTCCCAAGCTTGTGACCCTACAAGGTCACTTGCAGGTGACTTATGGAGTACCACGATACGGCTCTCTCTCTCTCTCTCTCTCTCTCTCTCTCTCTCTCTCTCTCTCTCTCTCTCTCTCTGTCTGTCTGTCTGTCTCTCTCTCTCTCTCTCACTCTCTCTCTCCCTCACTCAGTGTGAGGGTCAACGCTCGTACCGTCCTCCAGGTCTGGTTGGAGGCAGTTGGGATCTGACCTGAGTGGTGTCAGGTAGTTAATTGGGTGATTGTAGCAGGCTAATTGGATGACTACACCACCTGGGTAATTACTAGATATTTGAGTGACTATAACATAACTAGACAACTGGCAGTAATGATCTAACTTGATAACCAGGTAAACTGGACCACTAGGTAAACTGAACAGCTAGGTAAACTGGACCACTAGGTAAACTTGGCCACCAGGTAAACTGGACCACCAGGTAAACTGGATCACTAGGTAAACTGGACCACTAGGTAAACTTGGCCACCAGGTAAACTGGACCACTAGGTAAACTGGGCCACTAGGTAAACTGGATCACTAGGTAAACTGGACCACCAGGTAAACTGAACCGCTAGGTAAACTGGACCACTAGGTAAACTTGGCCACCAGGTAAACTGGACCACTAGGTAAACTGGACCACTAGGTAAACTGGGCCACTATGTAAACTGGACCACTAGGTAAACTGGACCACTAGGTAAACTGGACCACTAGGTAAACTGGACCACCAGGTAAACTGAACCGCTAGGTAAACTGGACCACCAGGTAAACTGGACCACTAGGTAAACTGGACCACTAGGTAAACTGGGCCACTAGGTAAACTGGACCACTAGGTAAACTGGACCACTAGGTAAACTTGACCACTAGGTAAACTGGGCCACTAGGTAAACTGGACCACTAGGTAAACTGGACCACTAGGTAAACTGGGCCACTAGGTAAACTGGGCCACTAGGTAAACTGGACCACTAGGTAAACTGGACCACTAGGTAAACTGGACCACTAGGTAAACTGGACCACTAGGTAAACTGGACCACTAGGTAAACTGGACTATTAAAAAACTACTCACCCCATCCCTCCCTTAACTCACTCCCCCTCCCCTCCCTTCCCCCTTCCCTCCCCCCCTCCCTTCCCTCACTCCCCCCTCCCTTAACTCACTCCCCCCTTCCCTCTTCCCTCCCCCCCTTCCCTCACTCCCCCCCCCCTTCCCTCACTCCCCCCCCCCTTCCCTCACTCCCCCCCTTCCCTCACTCCCCCCTCTCCCCACCTCACCATTGAGCCTCTGAGCGTTCTCCCTCTTCCTCTCCTCCTCTTCATCAGCCCTGTTGGCCTTCTCCGCCTGTTCCTGCGACCTCTGGCTCTTCTCAATGATGGAGCAGGCGCGCAGCACGTACGCCAGCACCGGCTCCTGCTTCTCCTGGCGCGGTACTTCCAGCAGCTGCCAGTACTCCGTCTCCAGCCGCACCACCTCCTGAAATATGCCCGTAATCTATATATATACCTATATCTCATTCACTTGGGAACTGGGAGACTCGAACTCACGTCCCCCCATGAGCGTGAAGGATAGGCTTTATCTCCAGGTTACTACAATAGTAAAGATTGCAGGAGCAGCAAACCGCTGTCCAACTGAAATGTTAAAACTTTCCCCAGTCCCTGCTTAGGTCCAGGGCCTTTAATGGTTCACGCCCGAGGCATATAATCATGTCATTGTGTGAAATGTTTTCAGTCTTGACCTGAAATCCAAATCCTCACCTCAAAATCCCAGTTTTCATTTAAAAACAACAATTCTCACCTCAGTATCCTAATCTTAACACGGAATTTTAATCCTCACCTTAAAATCCTAATATTATTTACCTTAAAATCCTATAGTCCTTACCTTAAAACTCTAGTTCTCATCTTAAAATCCTAATCCTCAACTTATGATCCATATAGTTTCCTCAATTCCTAATCTTTGCTTCAAAATTTAAGTTTCTAAGTAGACACCCTATCTCTCTCTCTCTCTCTCTCTCTCTCTCTCTCTCTCTCTCTCTCTCTCTCTCTCTCTCTCCCCCCCTCTCTCTCTCCCCGCCTCTCTCCCCCTCTCTCCCCCCCTCTCTCTCCCCCCCCTCCCCCCCCTCTCTCTCCCCCTCTCTCTCTCTCCCCCTCTCTCTCTCTCCCCCCTCTCTCTCCCCCCCTCTCTCTCTCTCTCTCTCTCTCTCTCTCTCTCTCTCTCTCTCTCTCTCTCCCATCTCTCCCTCTCCCCCCCTCTCCCTCTCCCCCCCCCCCCCCCCCTCTCTCCCCTCTCCTCCCTCTCTCCCTCCCTCCCTCACTACCTCACCTTGATCATGACCTTGAGGAGGCGGTAGCGGGTGAAGAAGTTCCAGGTGTGTTTGCTCTGGTTGTAGCGGGTGTGGAGGGTGAGGAGCGCCCCGCGGGCCGTGTCGTGGGCCTCCTCCAGGCGGCTCCTCACTGCCCTCAGCCGGTGGTTGGTGGCGATGGCCTCGTCCCTCGTCTCTCCGTCAGCTGGGGGAGAGGCTGGGGGTTAGGGTCTCCTGCTGGGGGGTTAGGGTCTCCTGCTGGGGGGTTAGGGTCTCCTGCTGGGGGGTTAGGGTCTCCTGCTGGGGGTCAGGACCTCCTGCTGGGGGTTAGGGTCTCCTGCTGGGGGTCAGGACCTCCTGCTGGGGGTTAGGGTCTCCTGCTGGGGGTCAGGACCTCCTGCTGGGGGTTAGGGTCTCCTGCTGGGGTCAGGACCTCCTGCTGGGGGTTACGGTCTCCTGCTGGGGGTCACGTGTATCCTGCTGGGGGGTTAGGACCTCCTGCTGGGGGGTTAAGACCTCCTGCTGGGGGTTAGTGTCTCCTGCTGGGGGTCAGGGTCTCCTGCTGGGGGTCAGAATCTCCTGCTGGGGGTCAGGAGCTCCTGTTGGGGGTCAGGACCTTCTGCTGGGGGTCAGGACCTCCTGCTGGGGGTTAGGGTCTCCTACTGGGGGTCAGGGTCTCCTGCTGGGGGTCAGGGTCTCCTGCTGGGGGTCGGGGTCTCCTGCTGGGGATCACGTGTATCCTGCTGGGGGTCAGGACCTCCTGCTGGGGGGTTAAGACCTTCTGCTGGGGTCAGGGTCTCCTGCTGGGGGTCAGGTCTCCTGCTTGGGGGTCAGGGTCTCCTGCTGGGGTCAGGGTCTCCTGCTGGGGGTCAAGGTCTCCTGCTGGGGGGTCAGGGTCTCCTGCTGGGGATCAGGGTCTCCTGCTGGGGGTCAGGGTCTCCTGCTGGGGGTTAGGGTCTCCTGCTGGGGGTCAGGGTCTTCTGCTGGGGGTCAGGGTCTCCTGCTGGGGGTCAGGGTCTCCTGCTGGGGGTCAGGGTCTCCTGCTGGGGGTCAGAATCTCCTGCTGGGGGTCAGGACCTCCTGCTGGGGGTCAGGATCTCCTGCTGGGGTCAGAGTCTCCTGCTGGGGGTCAGGGGTCTCCTGCTGGGGGTCAAGACCTCCTGCTGGGGGTCAGGGTCTCCTGCTGGGGGTCAGGGTCTTCTGCTGGGGGTCAGGGTCTCCTGCTGGGGGGTCAGGGTCTCCTGCTGGGGGGTCAGGGTCTCCTGCTGGGGGTCAGGATCTCCTACTATGGGTCAGGATCTCCTGCTGGGGGTCAGGATCTCCTGCTGGGGGTCAGGACCTCCTGCTGGGGGTCAGGATCTCCTGCTGGGGTCAGGGTCTCCTGCTAGGGTCAGAGGTCTCCTGCTGGGGGTCAGGACCTCCTGCTGGGGGTCAGGACCTCCTGCTGGGGGTCAGGGTCTAATGCTGGGGGGTCAGGGTCTCCTGCTGGGGGTCAGGGTCTCCTGCTGGGGGTCAGGACCTCCTGCTGGGGGTCAGGGTCTCTTCCTGGGGGGTCAGGGTCTCCTGCTGGGGGGTCAGGGTCTCCTGCTGGGGGTCAGGGGTCTCCTGCTGGGGGTCAGGGTCTCCTGGTGGGGGTCAGGGTCTCCTGCTGGGGGTCAGGACCTCCAGCTGAGGGTCAGGACCTCCTGCTGGGGGTTCAGGGTCTCCTGCTGGGGTCAGGGTCTCCTGCTGGGGGTCAGGGTCTCCTGCTGGGGGGCAGGGTCTCCTGCTGGGTGTCAGGGTCTCCTGCTGGGGGGTCAGGGTCTTCTGCTGGGGGTCAGGGTCTCCTGCTGGGGTCAGGGTCTCCTGCTGGGGGTCAGGGTCTCCTGCTGGGGGGCAGGGTCTCCTGCTGGTGTCAGGGTCTCCTGCTGGGGGTCAGGGTCTTCTGCTGGGGGTCAGGGTCTCCTGCTGGGTCAGGACCTCCTACTGGGGGTCAGGGTCTCTTCCTGGGGGTCAGGTCTCCTGCTGGGGGTCAGGGGTCTCCTGCTGGGGGTCAGGACCTCCTGCTGGGGGTCAGGACCTCCTGCTGGGGGTCAGGACCTCCTGCTGGGGGTCAGGGTCTCCTGCTGGGGGGTTAGGGCCTCCTGCTGGGGGTCAGGACCTCCTGCTGGGGGGTCAGGGTCTCCTGCTGGGGGTCAGGGTCTTCTGCTGGGGGTCAAGGTCTCCTGCTGGGGTCAGGACCTCCTACTGGGGGTCAGGGGTCTCTTCCTGGGGGTCAGGGTCTCCTGCTGGGGGGTCAGTGGTCTTCTGCTGGGGGTCAGGACTTCCTGCTGGGGGTTCAGGGTCTCCTGCTGGAGGTCAGGACCTCCTGCTGGGGGTCAGGACCTCCTGCTGGGGTCAGGGTGTCCTGCTGGGGGGTCAGGGCCTCCTGCTGGGGGTCAGGACCTCCTGCTGGGGGTCAGGGTCTCCTACTGGGGGTGAGGGTCTCCTGCTGGGGGTCAAGACCTCCTGCTGGGGGTCAGGACCTCCTGCTGGGGGGTCAGGGTCTCCTGCTGGGGGTCAGGACCTCCTGCTGGGGGGTCAGGGCCTCCTGCTGGGGGTCAGGATCTCCTGCTGGGGATCAGGGTCTCCTGCTGGGGGTCAGGGTCTCCTGCTGGGGGTCAGGGTCTCCTGCTGGGTGTCAGGGTCTCCTGCTGGGGGGTCAGGGTCTTCTGCTGGGGGTCAGGGTTTCCTGCTGGGGTCAGGACCTCCTACTGGGGGTCAGGGGTCTCTTCCTGGGGGGTCAGGGTCTCCTGCTGGGGGATAGGGGTCTCTTGCTGGGGGTCAGGACTTCCTGCTGGGGGTTCAGGGTCTCCTGCTGGGGTCAGGACCTCCTGCTGGGGGTCAGGGTCTCCTGCTGGGGGGTCCGGGTCTCCTGCTGGGGGTCAGGACCTCCTGCTGGGGGGTCAGGGTCTCCTGCTGGGGGTCAGGGCCTCCTGCTGGGGGGTCAGGGTCTCCTGTTGGGGGGTCAGGACCTCCTGCTGGGGGTCAGGACCTCCTGCTGGGGGTCAGGACCTCCTGCTGGGGGTCAGGACCTCTTGCTGGGGGTCAGGACCTCCAGCTGGGGGTCAGGACCTCCTGCTGGGGGTCAGGGGTCTCTTCCTGGGGGGTCAGGGTCTCCTACTGGGGGGTCAGGGTCTCCTGCTGGGGGTCAGGACCTCCTGCTGGGGGTCAGGACCTCCTGCTGGGGGGG